AGCACAAGTACAGTTTATAGTTTTATTCAATCTGGGAACGGCAATACTAGTATTAAGAGCATACCGGGTGAAATGGTTATGGTTGGTGTTAGAAAAAATGTCAGCTTTATTTTTGAATATGTTTAGCATGATGGATCTAACAAATAATTGTGAGATATTAAAATCTTTAAATTCGTCAAAAATAATGTTTGAAGGATATCTATAAAAAGCACAAGTACAGTTTATAGTTTTATTCAATCTGGGAATGGCAATACTAGTATTATAGTCTAGTAAAATTATGATTTGACCTGGGCAAAATTGCTTCATAAGCCATTGAAATGGTATTCGACTCAATAAATGTTACTTTACAACATATCCAAAATCCAACAAAATCCGACCATGGGAAAGTGTCTAAAAATAAATTTTTAAATGGTTGCAGTTTGTTCTAGCCTTAAAATATTCGGTGAAAAAAGTGTTTTCATTTGAGCTATTGATCATTAAAATCGGACGTGTTATAGACAAGCTACAAACCCTAACACAATATTAAATTTAACTTTTTAGAAATAAGTTTTTATTAAAAGATGTATACCTCGGGTTGCTAATATGTCACCAAGTTCTTTCTTGTCTCAAATTAACTCAGTGGATGTTTGGCTTTAATTTAATGTTTCACTTAATAAAATCTGACAAATTTAAAATGAGTCATGAATCTTTATTTAACTGTAAATTATTTCTTTTACAAAATCGTTCTTTAGTTTAGGGCATTTATCCCCAATTCTAATAACTCCCAATAAGTAATCCATAGCTAAAACAAAAGTCAATAATGTTACTATTTATTTAAGACTGTAAAGATTTTTGGGAGCTATTTAGAATTGGGGATATATGTCTAAAACTAAAGACAAATTTTAAAAACAAATAATCTACTGTTAAATAAAGATTCATGACTCAATTATAATTCATCAGATTTTATTAAATGGTTAATAAAATTAAAGCCAAAGATTCACTGAGTAATTTGAGACCAGAATGAACTTTGTGACATATTAAAACCCCGAGATATAACATCTCTTAATAAAAAGTTATATCTAAAAAGTTAAATTAATTATTGTGTTAGGGTTCGTAGCTCGTTTCTAAATCATCATTAAATTTTAAATCATTGATTTTAATGATCAAAAGCTCAAATGTAAACCCTTTTATCACAGAATATTTTAAGGCTAGAACAAACTGCAAGCGTTTGTAAAAACTGGAGATATAAGAAAAATTATCTTAAAAAATGTTCAAACTACGAAACGTCCATAAGAAATGTTTGGGGGTACGACTCTTTGTTTTGTAGTCTTTTTGCATTGCCTGTTTTGATATGTTTACTGTTTCATACTATAGTATTCATGTTTACTGTTTCCTATAATAGTTATTTTTCAAATATTTGTTCAAACGTCTGAGAATAATGTCCTACTTGGTGAAAAAGTCGTACTACCATACAGTATCTGATATACCGCCAACCCTAGAGTGATTATTGAAAATGGTCCATTCTTCTTTTATGACCCATTGCGCAACTGTGGGTGTAAACAGAACGGACTGTCTTGTTGTACTTCTTGAGGGGAGTGCCAGATCAATGAATGTAAGAACATTGAAACAAAATGATAACAGTTATTCAAATAGTTTGTCCAAGAAAGCTTATTAAATTTAGTTCTTTTTTAGTAACTACTAGCTGAACCCGGCAGACGTTGTCTTGCCTTTGACTATTTATAATTTAAGTACCGTAACGTTTAATTGTCTTATTGTATATGAAGTGCTTATAACTAAATTAAAATACGTATGACAACTAATGAAACACATATAGTCCAAAGGATAACCGATTCTTTATTATTGCTCTTATATTAATGCTAGTGGGTCGACAATATTTTTGGTCTTTCTATTCGGCTCAATCACGTCCTGGTTGAAGTTCGTTCGCTTCGCTCACTCACCTTTAGGTTGGAGCTCGTTCGCTATGCTCACTCACCTTTAGGTTGGAGCTCGTTTGCTGCGCTCACTTGCCTTCAGGTTAGCTCGTTCGCTACGCTCACTTGCCTTCAGGTTAACTCGTTCGCTACGCTAACTCGCCTCCAGGTTGAAGTTTGTTCGCTACGCTCACTCACCTTTTGGTTGCAAATTAGCTGTTGTCATAAATGTAAAAGAAATAATAGTGCTGCACCCTGTTGGTAATCCTTGTAACTTTAATGCTATTGAACATCATAGAACAGAACCAACTTGTTTAATTGAAACAGCTGTTAAGATTCATTAATTCCATTTCTCATAAGGTTAACATGGGAAACTCCAGAGCCACTGGCGGAGCCGATTGGACGGATCACGAAATTGATGGTGTATAATAAACCTATTCCATGAAATTCTACACGTATGTACCAAGTTTCGTGGATATCGGTTCAGTGGTGTCTGAGTTTATCACTGCCAAACAAATATATATATATATATACAAACATCCTCTTTTATACTTATAGATGGAAACTAAAATGTACATACAAATATGTCCTTGTCGTTTTAATAAAGTCTTTTCTTGTATTTATTTGATATTTTAAGATCCAATCTGATATTTAATTTATGTATATGTGCTTTCCGTTATCCTATACCGCAAAAAGTCTTAAAACAAATTTCACAAAAATTTTAAATTTTGCCGCCATTTTGAATTTGATTTTGTAGTAATTTCCCATGGTCGGATTTTATTGGATTTTGGATATGTTATAAACCATAATTTTCTGTGTTGAATACCACTTCATCTGTGAAGAAATTTTGCCCAGGTTTAAGGGTAATTTGTTGTATTTTGCTTGGACTATTAAGAGCATACCGGATGGAATGGTTATGGTTGGTGTTAGAAAAAATAACAGCTTTATTTTTGAATATGTATAGCATGAGCAGCAAACTTTAAATTCGTCAAAAAAATTGTTTGAAGGATTTCTATAGCTTTCATTAATTAGTTACAATTAATACCACTGCAGGAAGAATAGTAAAGTTGGAGCTAAGCCTTTCTGAACTGTGAAAGACGTTTATTTGAATGAGTTCGCGAACTAGCATGGTAGGACTATGGGAACAGGGATTTATAGGGGGTTTTATTGGGTAAAAATTAGTTTTCCCATTTTTTACCCTAAAAACATAAAATTTAGCAGCTTCTTTCCAAATAATTTTGTGGAGCTTAAAAAAACAAATAATTTAAGCCCCATTCACACGGGGCGAGTTTACAAGCTACACGCCGGCTTTTTTACACGCAGCTAGTAAAATAGCTCAGTGTGAACGAAATACTCGCTCAAAAGCTGCTTGTAAAAAAGCTCTGGAGAAAGTTGACGCTGCCGCTACTTTACACGCCAACTCGCCAGCTTTTGAGCGAGTAGGCATGTAAAGTAGCCCAGTGTGAATACAGTTGCTTATACTTGTGCGCGTGTTATTCAAAGATGTTGGAGGATTCGGTTCAAGCTAGCTAATGAGCGAGTGGAAAAAGCATCGTGTGAACAACTACAAGCGCACTCGCCAACTCGCCGGCTTCTTACACGCCAGCGAGTAGCTTGTAAACTCGCACCGTGTGAACGAGCCTTTAGTATATTGCTGTGATTGCTGTGTCATTATGCACCACAGAGAAAATTCCAAAAAATTGTAAATTTAAAATTCCCATGTTATTCTTATGGAGAAAATTGTAAACTGTTGTAGTTTGCTTGGTTATAAGAAGATTTTGATCAAATTTAGAAATGGCATTCATTTTATACTAAACTATTAACATTTTACAAAAAATACCTTATTGCCCTCCCTGTTGCAGCAAACCTAAGTAGCGGTACTCGGAATAATTCACAACAAAACTAATGCTATTTAAATAGGGAATAAAAGTGATATTTTTAAGGAGACATTTTAGTGTAAATCCAATCAGGCAAATGGAAATTCGCTTAGTCTGCAGGTTCGCTGCGGCGGAGGTATTTTAGTCCAGGATGTCTTGTCCGTAACAATGGAATGGCCATTTGTTGTAATTTTCTAAAGTTACTACTTTATTGTTAATGGCATTTTTGTGATGTCGTAAATATAATTTGATTACCAAAAATTGTCCACATAAATCAAGGGTGAAGATTTAAAAACTACTAGCAGCAAAACCCAGCTTTGCCCGGGTAAAATTATACAATGCACAATAAGTGGTCATAGAATTAATCTTTTTTCTGTTTTTATACATGTACACATATCTTGGTACTATAAATTTATAAATATGTCAAATATTCTTTGAAGCACACATTTTCTTAAATTACAACTCAAATATTAATAGCAATGCTATTTATTATAAATATTACAAGACAAATAAATCTAAATTACAGATATTACTAAACATTTTGATTCTTTCAATATATATGTTGGACGCCTGCTCCATCTTCAAATTCTCAAGCAGATCTCCATTTTTTTTTTCGAGATCTTCTCAGACACATGCTTGTTGCCCTTAAAATTGAGCAAGTCAGTCTCGTTATTATCCAATTAACTACTAGGCTGTAAGGCTTAACTCATTTTTCTGACAATCTTTCAGCTAATGCTCTTATTAGTGTTTGAAAATCATTGCCTAGGATTCAGCAAACTGATGTTATCAAAGGAGTGAAAGATGCATTCCGGTTCTCACAAGCTGACATATACTTTCTTTTCTTTTCTTCTTCTGCATTTTTTATGACATTGTCATGAGGATTGGAAACATATGAGGGACCATCGGTGTCTACGACACGGATATCATTATGCAATTAAATTATCCAGCTGATCATAATGTAAACAAAACAAAAATGTTCTTTATAAGGATAACACGGAAACTTTAAAAGCCACTGGGACAGAGCCAAGGGACTTGTTCAAAACTGCAAGTCCAGTTTGCAAATCTATACACCTAGACGAACATTTTGGTAGATAGTATGTGGGGTTGAAAATTAAAAACAAAAAAGCCTTATTGTTCACAAAGTTTCATGTAGTGTATTAATAATATAGATAGATGCAACTATATATGACCTGACATATTTGTTCTGTTTTAGATTTGATAACATTTTGGGAACTAAGACCATCGAGTGCTTGGTTTACTTGAGCTCAGAGATTAAGAGCATATTTTGTCATGGGACAATGGTGGATAGAATTGCTGCCATGCTCAATTACTTTTTGCTGCATCTAGTTGGGCCAAAGAAGAAGAACTTTAAGGTAAATAGAAGACTGGTAATTTATGCCAAGGTTTTGTAACTTTTAAATTTAATGTGATAAAAGAATTTTGGATCATTCTTGGAATGTTTTTCTAAATATATTTGCTAATTTTGTTTGTGTCCTTTATTGCAACAGGCAAAGTTAGGGCCACTTGGCCCTTTCTTACACTTAACCTGCATTTGTTGCCGTTACACTGGTTTACATGCATGGCACAGTCAAGAAAATGTCTTAGAACTAAGGTTTAATTTAACATAATTTATGAAGTCTATTTCTCTGTATGGACACAGGTTTAATAGACAGTTTTTAAGCAATGCGTATAGCAGATGGTGTACGCATAGCGAGGCGTAAATTCGCCCAGTTCGCGCAGCTACGTCACGTGCGAGCTGAACGTGTTTTATTTTACCAAATCATATGTTTGTTTGTAATTTCCCAAAGACTTTCAAATGACATTCGTTACAAATTAGTATTGAATATTTAACACTATTTAGTGTTATATATCTGATATAGTGTTGTATCGTTGTATCCAATATTGAAATGGTGTTATACAGTACCTATATTAAACGGTAGTAGTCTGGAACAGTGGTCACCAATTATGTTAAATGGAGGTCCATTCCAAGTTTCTATAAAACTGTCACGGTCCGGACAAGTTGCCGGAGGGTCTGCACAATTTTCTTCTGCTAAAACTTCAGTGTTTCGTGTGCTGGTAGATGCAGAAAGCGGCATGCGTCAAATAGTGTCAACAACATCTCGTTTATTCTCAAATAACACGTTTCCTGCCTCAATCATGCATTCTTTGACTATATCTGCATCAGTAAACAGTTTCATATGTTTAGCGAGAGTCCACGAAATACGCAAAGAAGCCTCTGCACATCTTTCTTGGGCAGTCATTGTTCGATTTAATATCTGGGTACTAGCTAAGTAGTTCGAACGTAAACTCTCGATCTTAGACGTGCGAAGATCACTTCCAATTGGGTATTTTGTATCAAAAGGCTTGTGTTTAGTCTCAAAGTGTCCTTTAACATTTGAACTCTTGACAACAGATACCGTTTGTTGACATATCAAACACACAGGCACAGCTCCACTTTTGTTTGTAAGTATAAACAAATACTGGTCTGTCCACTCTGGTAAAAACCTATTTTCACTGTCTACTTTCCGCTTTTTGTTATCCATTGTATGTAATTCGCACTACACTTTTTGCATAACTAACACACGACAGGATGAATAATCAATGAGAGAACTAAACACCAAATTAGTAAACAAACAGACGACGCGACATCAACAGTGCTGACTACAGCCAGTGCGGGCGGCCTGGCGATGACGAGGTGACGTGGCCACTGGGTGGGCGAGTTCAATTAGCGATGGAGGGGAGGAAGCTTAAAGAAAAAGCCGGTGCATAGCATCGCTTATGCTCATAACGGCTGTTATCCAGCGCGGAGCGCGGCGAATTAACTATGTTTCGATAAAAATAGTTTTCTGGTATGAAATATTTTGATCTTTAATGGTTGGTAGCGATATATCTTTAGGTTCAAATAAAGATTAAATTCTCTAAAAGATAAAAATACATTAAAAAACACAGTTAGTGAATTCAAACTAACGGTCCGTAAAAAATTAGGCGGTGGTCCGGATCCGGACCGCAGTCCGCCATTTGGGGACCACTGGTCTAGAACATTTGATAGTGAGTACCTTTTAATAAAAAAACAGTAAAGCAGTAAATACTGCAACTATTATTTTTTTTTTTAAGGGAGAGGAGGGAAAATGCTTTTACGCACACAGGTAGCCAGCCTGTAGTGTGAGACTCCTGGATCTATCACAGACTACTCACTAAAAACCCCCTCTACTCTGTTGGACTCAGACCTGGAATTGTTTGTCACATTACTTCAAGTCAGGCCAACATATGACCTAAGCCCTCAGGGCTCTCACCGTTTTTGGCATTTAGATACTTCATGACCTACACCGCATCCCGGTCAAGGTCGAGCTTCTTGGCGCGGAGAATACCCTGGATGCAATGTGACACACAGGTCCAATTGTCCTCACCCTCCGTCATCATCGGTATGACCGTATCCACTGACAGCAGTCCTACTAACTGTTGAGCCTCCAGGTGGGGCCTTTCCCAACGCTGGCAGTGGAAAAAGGTATGTTCCACGTCATCGGGAATGCATGGACAGTATATGCAATCGGGTGACACGGCTTTGCCCATCTTGAACAGGTACGACCGGAAAAAGCCGTGACCCGTCAGAAATTGGGTGAGGAGTCCACCTCTTCGCACCGCCGATTAACCCAAGGTTGGACTTGCTGTATCAGTCGCCTGGTCCAGTGTCCTCGAGTCTCCTGTTTCCAGCTCTCCTGCCACAGCTGGTAGGTGCGGGTACGCTCCTTTGTTCGTGCCTGGTCCTCCCCACTGCGCTGATAAATTGCTTTTCTCTCCGCCGCCAAAAGTTTGACGGGGATGACTCCAGCAACCACCAGGACGGCGGGTTCGGACACTGTTCGGTAGGCGGATGCAACTCTTAGTGCTGCCTGACGCTGCACTCGGGCGAGCTGCATCCTATATACCTCCTTATTGACAGCGTCTGCTCACACCTCAGCACCGTACAAGAGTACGGACTGGACAGAAGACATTAACAGCCTTCTATGGCTGGACCGAGGCCCTCCAACATTGGCCATCAACCGGCTAAGAGAGGAGACTACCCTGGCGGCCTTGTCCGCCGTACGGAAAATCTGATCCCGCCAGCTAAGCTTGCTGTCCACCATAATCCCAAGGTAAATAAATAAATAAATAAAAATGCCTTTATTTACGAGCGTCTTTCAGTATAAGAACTGTTTTACAAAGTAACTCATGTCAATATAACTAACTTAAAAATATACAACGATTATTATACAAAACAAAATTATAAGCTATGTACAATATTTTACATCTTCTTTACTTTTATTTTGAAAGCCAGGACCCCCAGCTGTTTTAGGTCCAAGGGGAGATCATTGTACATCTTTGGGCCAAAGTAAGATAACCCTTTTCTACCCACTTCTAGTCTTACTTTTGGAATTTGGAGCAAGGCGTTTTGCCGGGTCACTTGTTGAGTCACCTCCCCACGTGCCACAAGCCTCTCTACTACTCTCTACTCAAGTACTTAGGCTCTTGCTGAACCAAGACCCGGTGGATGAGGCTACAAGTCTGCGCCCTGCAAACGGCACCCATTGACAGCAACCCCGCAGCATCCCGGAATGGGGATACGCGTTCACGCTTACAGATACCGTAAATGAAACGAATTGCGGAGTTCTGCACTTTTTGCAATCGGGACATCTCTTCCCTTGAGATGCTGTTGCCGTATGCAGGAAAAAAGTAATGGAGCACTGACAACACTAGTGACTGTACCAGCTGCAGCTTGGCTGTCTCTGGCAGGATGTTTTTGTACCGGTACAGACCACGCAGCCTTCCCAAAGCCACCTGGGAAACATAAGTGATGTGGTCCGAGAAAGTGAGGCCACTGTAAAGTACCACACCCAAGGTCTTGACGGTATCCCTCACCATTAGAGGGTTTCCTGCGATTTGAACGTGCATGTCTCCATTTGCGACTCTGTGAAGAGTAGTGGGTGTAGCAATATGAAGTATCATACATTTTTCAGAGTTCAATTTTAAACCATGTTTGCGTGACCACTCACTTATTCTCACCAGATCAGAGTTCACTCCTGCAAAAGCTTGATCAGCGGCCTGAATCTCATAGGAGAAATGCTATTGGCAGTCATCGGCATATGAATGCGCATTGCAGTGACTCACACATCTGGACAGATCTGCAGTGTACAGGGTAAACAAAATGGGCCCCAGACAGCTCCCCTGAGGCACTCCCCTTGATTTCTCTAGGGGAGGTGAGATATCGGTACACACCCTGGTAACTTGCATTCTGTTTTCCAGGTAAGATCTAAACCAAGCAACCGCATTGCAATGAAAACCAAAATGTTTCAATTTTGCTAGGAGCAAACCATGGCTTATGGAATCAAAGGCCTGTGAAAAATCAAGCATGACTACAGAGCTACACCTGCCCTCGCTCCTCGCTCCAAACAAGTCTGCAAACATATTCATCAATGCAGTACAAGTGCTATGGTTCTTTCTGAACCCTGATTGCAGTTTGGGGAGCAGATTCTCTGCATCTAAAAAATGCTGTTATTTGGCGTATTACTAATTTTTCCAGCACTTTGGACATAGCAGGCAAGACTGATATTGGCCTTAAATCATTAAAGTTTGAAGGAATCTGTTTTTTGGGCAATGGATGTACCATACTTTTCTTCCACGCGTGTGGAAATTCACTGTTTACAAGAGACATATTCATAAGGTGAGTTATTGCATCAATGGCATAAGGGCTGACGGCTTTTATCATTGCAATACTTATGTCATCAACACCGACAGTTCTAGAGGTAATTTCATTAATAGCTTCCCTCACTTCTGATACTGATATTTTTCTAAACTGGAATTTATTTACATCACGTGTATCCTATACTCTAATACGAGCAATGTTTGCTTGTATGTATGCTTGCTTGCTTGCAGAAAGATCTCGAAAACGGCTCCGACGATTTTCTTCAAATCTTGTAAATAGTTTATTTTTGGCCTAAAAACAAGTTTCATGCAGTTAGAACTGCCAACAAAAATCTAATTACGTAGAAAAACGAAACTGAAAGTCACATTTTTTTAACATTAGTCTTATGGGTTGCTAAGTAACCATGTTGGTTGAATTAAATAACAAGGAAAAGGTAAACAAAAGACTTGAAGTTGTAGCACGTGTTCATAATAAACCAACTACCCACAGTATACTAGCAAATTACAAATACAGTACAAAAGGAAAAACATCACTTGTTAATATTGAGCAAAGATTATACCAAAGATTGATTATACTTAAGATTACTCGAGACATTGTAGTCAAGGGTAGCAGTGCGAAGTCTAGGATCTGTTTATGACGAATACATTAAGGTATCTGCAATCCTAAAATGCTATGGGAAGGGAAGGAAACAGG